TGGGGAAGGGGGTGGGAAAGGAAGGGATAAAAAAAATAGAGCAGAAATAAGTGAAATAGAAGTGAAAAAGATTGTCCAAAATATCAATGAACTATAAAGGCTGGTTCATTGAAAAACTAAACAAAATAGACATACCTCTAGCTATACTCACAAAGAAAAAGAGGGGAAAAATTTAAATAAATAGGATCATTATAATGGAAGAAGAGGAATTATAAACATATGACACAAATCCAGGGGTTACTAAGAGATTACTATCAACATTTACACGCATGTAATCACAAACAAACAATCAAACAAACAAACAAGCAATATAGATTAGACTGACAAATTCTTAGAATAATTATACAATCACCCCAGGCTCAATAGGGAATAGAAAATGTAAACAAAACAATTACAAGAAAGGGTATTTAAATAGTAATCAAAATTCTACCAAAAAAAAAAAAATCCCAGGACCAGAAGATTTCATAAGGTTTTCTAAATGCCTAAAGATGGAGTAATACCTATACTGCTAAAACACTTTCAAAAATTTCAGAAATAAGAAATTCTTTCCACTATATTTCGAGGTTAGCATCACACTAATACCAAAACCAAACAGACAATACAAAGAAAGAAAGCTGTAGCCCAATATCCACAGTGAACACAGATGCTAAAATCTTTAATAAAATCTTACTAAACCAAATCCAACAATGCATTAAAAGGTTTATACACCATGATGAAATTGGATTTAATCCAGGGACACAAGGATGGTTCAACATCCAAACATCAATCAACATAATTCACCACATCAACAAAAAGAAAGATAAAAATAATATGATCATGTCAATAGATGCCAAAAAAGCATTTGATAAAGTTCATCATTGATTTGTGATGAAAGCCCTTGAAACAGTAGAATAAAAGGATCATATCCTAACATAATAAAAGCCTTATGAGACAAACTCAGAGCCAAAAAAAATTTAAATATCTGGGGGGAAAAAAGCTGACAAAGGAGGTGAAAGACCAATATAAGGAAAATTATAAAACATTGCTAAAGAAATAGAAGACACAAAAAAAGGAAAATATTCTCTGCTAATGGATTGAAAGAATCAACATTATCAAAATGGCCATCCTACCCAAAGCACTTTACAGATTCAATGCAATTCCAGTGAAAATGTCAATAGCATTCTTCAGAGAAATGGACAAATATAGCTGAAATTCACATGGAGTCACCAAAAAAAAAAAGTTTAGCCAAAGTAAAAAAGATTCACAGACCAATGAAATAGAATTGAAAACACAGACATAAAACCACACTTATATGGACTACTAATATGTGACAAAGGAACAGAGAATCTACACTGAAACAAAGAAGTTTCTTCAATAAATAGTGCTGGGAAAATTGGACTGCCATTTGCAAATGAATTTAACTTGTCCACTATCGCACACCATACACAATAATCAACTCAAAATGGACAAAAGACTTAGATGTAAGGCCTGAAACCATAAAAAAACATAGAAGGAAATATAAGGAAAACACTCCATGACATAAACGTCAGAAACATCTTTGAAGAGTTGTCTCCAACAGCAAGGAAAACAAAGGAGAATTTAAGTAGCTGGGACTACATCAAACTAAAAAGCTCTGTAGGTCAAAAGTGACACCATACTGAGTGGGAGAAAATATTTTCTCACCATATGTCTGATAAGGGACTTATATCAAAGATCTACAGAGAGCTCACACAACTCAACAAAAACAAATCAAACTACCCAATCAAAAAACCGGGCAGAATAGTTAAATATGCACTTCTTCAAAGAAATGCAAATGGCTAACAGGTATGTGAAAAAAATGTTCACTACTGCTTATTATCAGGGGATGCATATCAAAACCACAGTGAGATACCACTTCACACCTATGGAATGACCCATATTCAAACAAACAAACAAACAAACAAACAGAAACAAGTGCTGGTGAGGGTGTAGAGAAGAAAGAATCCTCTTACACCATTGGGGGGAATGTAGATTAGTTGTGCCATTGTGGTAATCTATGGTATTCCACTAAAAATGGATCTGCCACAAGAGCCAGCAATTCCACTCTTAAGAATCTACCCAAATTACACAAAAGCACTAATTTGAAGGGAAACCAGCTTTCCTGTATTTACTGCAGCTCTAAGTACAATAGCCAAGGTCTAAATGTGTCCATTTTAAATGTGTCCAAACAGATGAATGGGTCAGAAAGATGTGGTGAAAAGAAATCAATATACACAATGGAATATACACAATGGAATACTACTTAGTGATAAAAAACATAAACTTATTGCTGCCATTTGCAGCAACATGGTTGGAGCTGGAGGGGCTTATGGCTTGCCTAATAAGTCAGAAGGAGGAAGATAAATATTAGATGGTTTCACTTGTGTGTGAAATACAGAGAAACCAAACAAATGGGCAAAGATAAACTTTAAAACTGACCTTAGATTAGGGGCAGCCAGGAGGGGAAGGGTGAGGACAAGGGAAACTATGGTCTAGAAATTAACAGTTATGTAAGAAAAATATAATTTAAGAATAAATAAAAGAGAAAAAATGATTTATAATAAGGCCTCATCTGTCATTAATTGATTTTTGGAAACTATGACTTTAAGTGAAATGACATAATGAAAGTGGGTCCTTGAACATCACTTTGTTCAACATCTGCGAGGATTATTTTTTCTCATTAATGTTACAGTAAAGCAACATTGAATGAAATTAAGTGTTTTTGCATATCTGTAATAGTTTTCTTTGATTTTAGTGGATTTTTAAAACTGCAATGACTCAGATCTTTGGTCTTTAAAAAACATGTTGTTCAGGGAAGTTTTAACACATGTAATCCTTTTTCTTCATGAATTTCTCTGACAACAAAAGAATTTCAGTTTTTTCCATTTTCAGCTATGTGTCTATATGTTCATATATCCATCCATCAAGTCAACTGCTATTGAGCAGCTACTGTGTGCTCACACCTTTATACAATCATCAATAAGCTATACTTCCTGATTCTTAGTATCTGTCTCTGTGTTTCATGAGTTCTGTTTTTTCATCATCCTCTTTTCCTTTCTCTTTCAAGTAAAATCTCTATGGCATTAGGACACTCAGTGACTATATTTGGCAAGAAATTTGACTACTTAGTCAGATGTTAGCAAAGTCTTAGTAAAGAGAAATATGCATCTCTGACACATTTCCTTTAAAAAAGACACTTCAGGAAAAGAAATTCCACATTCACAATAGAGTGTAACTCAAGGCATGTTTCTAGCAAGTAGTAAGTAAAAATTCCAGTGAATCTGTTCCGTTGATAAGATTTTGCATTTAAATTTACAAATATCATTTTACTCTGCTTTTTTTCCTCTTCAAGAGGAGCATAGATGATTATAACAAAGTGGATTTAATAACCACAATGAGCATTCAGGGGATAGAACATAGAGAAGTTGGGCCAGAAAGTACATGTTAGGGAGTGGGGAGTGATTGAAGAAGTAAATCATCTTACAAACATTTTTAAAGGCCTTGAACTTTATCTTGGTAAAGGGAAGTCTTTTAAGATTTTTTTTTTTTTTTTTGAATCAAGGGAATGACGATCCTATTTGCCATTTAAGAATCCTATTTACCTCTTGGGAAGTTGGAAGGAAGGTAAATATAAATGACAACAGAGCAGTGAGGAGGCTGTTTTAAAAGAGTATTCTAGAAGAATCCAGTGGGTTGTCACTTGGACTAGAAGATGGAGAGCGTCGTGTATGGATTCTCAAAACCAGCATATTTAATAATTGAATGTCAGTTCAATTATTATAGGAACTATACAATGTTCCTGGATTTCTTGTGCAACAAGAGAGAAGTGGTATCATTTTATTTAAGTGGGCTTTGGGGAAACACATGTTAAACAGATTTTCACTGATGCCTGTGGGCACAATCAAGTTGATATTAGTCATCTACAATCATAGTAGCATCTAGCATTCAGATTTCCTCACAGAGAACTTTGTGAGAATTTGGAGAAGAGAAATTTTATAGCAGCTGATTTTTAAAATTTGTGTTCTTAGTTTTTTTTTTTCTGCCCTTCCCACTGACATCAAAAATCATCTTGTAAAGAACTTGTAAAGAAAATGTGAGAGAGAGAGAGCAAGTGCATGCGCACACGCAGATCAGATGAAAATGATGTTGATGGTTCATTGTGTTGGTTCATAAAAATAAAATTTGGTATGCTTCACCCACAGAAGAAAGGCTGAATGTTGCCAGGGGAGGGATAGTAAAGTTGCATACCATCCTAACTGAGAGATTTAAAGGGTTTAGATTGTCTGGACTTTAGTTCTGACTTTGCTACTACTTAGCTGGTTGTGAGATCTTGGATAAGTTACTTCCTCTCTTTGTGCTTGTCAGTTCATTCATCTGCAGAGTGGCTAACAGCAGGGACCTGATTTTAAAGTCTTACATTAGTTATCGTATAGTATAAAACCATTGGAATGGTTTTATTTACAATGTTTAGAGACAGTGAGTGGCACTTTTAGTGTAATAGGTAACATAGAATGAATATCCTGCACTGGCATTATTACCTATATCCATGATTTTAGACCGTATAGATAACACACATATATTATATTTGGTCCTTATTATTTGCTCCTAATAAGAGCATGTTGTTGTAGTAGTGGCAAAGCCGTAATGATGTTGGTAAGAATAGCTTATATGTAACCTTCACATCAATCTGATGTTACTGTCCAACATTTTACAGGTGAGAAAACTGGCTGTTGGAGAGCTGAGGCAACAGTCCAAGGCCACAGGGATAGTGAGCACTGGAGCTGGCAAGCCTGGCAGCCCTAACTTGAGAGCCTGCACTTTCTAGTCACTGCCCTGTATTTAAATAGTTTCTGTTTACTCAATAGCCTCCTCACAAAAGAATGGAAAGTGGCTTTATTTTCACTAATAAAATTGGTGGTTCCCTTGCTTCTCAGAGTTTGAAACTTAGAATCTGGGTAGTATAGGACATCATTAATCTTTTTTTTTCTCCATTTCTCTTTTAGATACCAGTTTTTCTTACAGGTGAAGCAAGATGTGCTCCAGGGCCGGTTGCCCTGCCCTGTCAACATTGCCGCTCAGTTGGGAGCATATGCAATCCAGTGTAGGTTCCATTTAAGCAGATTTGCTTCAGAAATGTTTAGGGAAATTAATTTGATTTTTTTTTTTATTTAAGCAAGTTTATATACTAAGATTCTTACCAAGTGACATTTGGCTAAAAAATAATAAATTTAGTCAGGAATCAAGTTTTAATCTGTCCCTTCAGAAGATGAAAATGAAACCAGGTCCTTCCCTTAAGGTAGATTGGGTGGAGTTAGCTGCAGGAATGGCCACTATTTCTTGATTAAGCAGAGGACTGAAATCTGTTCTAGTCTGCATCCTACCTGAGTTAATAGACCCAGGAAGCTGGAATGTGTCAGATCACCTTGCTTCCGGGCAGCTGTAGTAAAGACTCCAGATGGTCACTGCCGTGCAGCCAAGCATTTTTGCTCAGTGTGCTTCAGCATCTGGCATTAATATGACAGCCACGTGGAACAGCTCAAGGTCGCATTACTATTTTGGAGGCTGAGGATACTTTCACTTACAATTACTGAGCCCATTCTAAGAATCAATGGGTATAAGAGAATTTAGACAGCATGGGCCTTGCCTTTATAATACTTGGAGACCAAAAATAGTGTGGAAAATACACCCTAAGTGAAACGTCACATAGGTGAATTGGGTTGGGCTTGAAAAGTGGATTAGCGTAGTGAGGAGAGATTTTATAAGAATAATATCGTGAACTTTCTGGTTTTATTTTGTTTCTTTGTGTCAACTACAGTGGCATTATGTGCAGTGTTGATGTATATTCCTATGATTATTATTAAGGAAAGTATATTTTGAATCACACACCCTATCTCTTGGTGTCATTGTCTGAGAGCATATATCAATAATTATAGTTTACCTCTGCTTTTCTAATATACATATGTATATACATATATATATACTCCAAATTCTGTTTAAAATTCTTCATTTTATATAAGCTGATAGGAATATTTGAAATTAAAATCATGATAATTGTAGTCTTTAAGAAAACAAAAATGTAAAACTTGCATTTTTAGGATGAGATATTATTTATACCATTCATATATGCTCATCAGAGTTGTTTTACTGAAGTTGTTGTGTATGAATTCATTAACAAGACATTTGAAGAAAATAGTTAAGTATGGTGTTAATGTTTTTGTTCTATTATTATTTTTGGCATATTTTTCTAAAATAAAAAAAATTGAATTTCTTTCTTTCTTGAAGCTGAACTTGGAGATTATGACCCTTATAAGCACACTTCAGGATATGTGTCAGAGTATCGGTTTGTTCCTGATCAGAAAGAAGAACTTGAAGAAGCCATTGAAAGGATTCATAAAACTCTAATGTAAGCCTCATACCTTATTAGGTATAGTCACCATGCTGTGCATTAGTTCCTCCGAACTTTCTCACCTTATAACTGGAAGTTTATATTCTTTCACCAATGTCTTCCTATTTTCCCCAACTCCTAGCCACTAGTAATCATTCTAGTCTCTGTTTCTATGAGTTCATCTTTCTAAGATTCCACATATTTGTGATATGGTAGGGTGTTTTTCTCTGTCTGACTTATTTCACTTAATACATTGCCCTTGGGGTGCATCTGTATACTTGAAAGTTGCCAAAAGAGTAGATCTTAGATGTTGTCTCCACGTGAAAAGAAATGGTAATTATATGACAAGATGGAGGTATTAGCTAACTCTGTGATGATAATCCCATATGTAATGTACTCAAAACTGGGAGGAAAAAGAATGAGGTCATATATTGCATCATGCATACATTATCGTCAATACTGTTGACAGGCGTAAGAAAAATTTCTGGAATGATAAATTTTACCTGTGCCTTGAACAATCTTACATTTTTTTCCTTTTATATTTTTTCTTTTTATTCCTAGTCACAATAAAATATTCATAGAAAACTCAGAAAATTTAAAAAGTATAATGGAGAGAATAAATCCCAATACCTAATGTCACCATATTTTTCACTGATAACCTTTGAAACCTGTCATGAAGAATTTCCCATAGAGAAAATCTACTTTATCCAGATTTTTGTATGTATGATTTCATTTACCCAGATTTTTGTATGTATGATTTCACATAAATAGAATCATTCAGTATATACTGTATTTTGCAGTCTCCTACTTTTTCAGTCACCTATATCATGAAATTTATTTAATTTTAAATACATTTTAACCACGAGGTCTTAATGTATTCTAGATTTGCTCTATATTGAGTATGTAAATTCTTCACAGTTGTAAGGAAAGTCCAATCCAGTTTATAGTGATGAATCTGGAAGTCATGATGACACTAGTGTGAGCTGCGGTGGGTATTATGTTAACACCACATGCACTTGTGAGAATATACACACTCCCTTGGTAGGATTTTCAGTCAATGGCCTGAAGCATTGAAGTTATAATTTAATTATAGTTATTTTGGTTAAATCCTCTTTACTGATTAACTTTCCTTTATTGCCTCTTATGTAACATTCCTGTTTGAATTTGCTTGATTTTAGATCTAATATAGTTAAGAAAAAATGTAGAATTAATCTGGTCAACAAAAAAATGTTTGCCTAAGGATCTGTTTCAGTGAGTAGCAACAGAAGTCAATTGCTGAATTGTAATGAGAGAAACCAGGCTCTTCATCTTGTATTAGCATGCACTGGAATGCTCTCAGCCTGATTATAGAATCCTTCATTTTAAGGTGTCACTGGAATGGATGCTAACAGAAAGCATGTTACAACATTATGTAGGGCAGTGTGTTTGGCACACTCTGGGGATACTAATTCTACTAGGGTTTTCAAAGTGTGATTATATTTTGAAATTGTCATGGAGCATTAGGTAAAGGGTCTTCTATATGTTATTGTAGTGGTCTGTTTGGTGATTGACCATTATTTCTAAAAGTATAAATCCTGATGAAGATTTTATAGCTTTTGTATTTTTAATTTGTATTGAAAATTGCTCATGGATTTCAAAAGATGCTATGTGGTGGATTTTTTTCCAGGGTACAAAGCTTAATCTTCAGAATGCATCAAAGCAAGATTTCTTATTTTTTAAAAATTCATAGTTCCTTTTGTTAGCCATTAAAAGGAATCTCTCTGTGTCTCTCTCTTTCTCTCTCTCTCACTCTCTCTCTCTCTCTCTCTCTCTCTCTCTCTCTCTCTCTCTCTCTTACACACACACACACACACTCTTATTTCCACTTCTCTGTGGAGATTCCTGATAGGTGCTCACTCTAATTAGGAATGGATGCTGTTTTCTGAACATTATCAGTAGTGAAAATTTGGAAAAGACTTCTATACTTTGTATTAAGACAATTACAAACACTTTTACAGTTTCTAAATATGAAATAATGAATTTTCAAACCATACATGTACTCAGGAGATGCCAAGCATCCCCATCTGAGTGGTAGGAGACCCGTTCTCTTCTTCCTGCCCTCACTATTTCTTCCTTTTCCTCCTGGTGCATGGAGGGATTTTACTCTTTGTAAAGGGCATGCTTTTAAATTCAAGTACTTAAATTCTCAATAATCTTTTCAGGGATTTCTGAAACTGAGAATTTTTAAATATATGCTGGGACATTGGGATTGGCTGTAATAAGTGAAAATCGATTTGGAAAATAAAATTAACATTATAAGTATCACCTCATAGTAAAAAATTCTGTCACCAGGAAGGCATGGTACTTCTTAAAATACAAAGATTTATGTTTGCATTATCAAGGGGACTATTTATTTTCCTAGTGAATATAATGAAGGTAGTTTACATCCCTGTAAGTGAAATAGCTATCAGTGATATAAAACTCTTTTGTTTTTATTCTGGGCATAGGGGTCAGGCTCCCTCTGAAGCAGAGCTGAATTACTTGAGGATCACCAAATCCCTGGAGATGTATGGCGTTGACCTCCATCCTGTCTATGTGAGTAACATTTAATTAGCACAAAATATGTTAAGCTGATGCCATTTTTCTTAAAAAGTCACTGAAACTTCCAGAGGAAAGCTATAGTTCTGTTTGGCAAGCAAATGATACTTTTTCATCTGTGTTTTTCAAAGACAAAGAATCTCTTGCATGGATTAAACACTAATGAGTTTTGCATAGAAGTCTGTGATTATATTTCTGTGTACAAAAACAATTAACTGGACTTGAAAACACAATCTGGATAACAGATCTAAAGGGCTTAAGCAAACGTCAACTCAATTTAAACTTGGTCTACAATTGGTTGTATTAGACAGAAAACAGACTTTACAAAATTAGATCTTTATAGCAGAAAAACAGTCATAAAATCACTTGCCAGAGAAAGTTAGGTGTTTGTTAGAAGCAGAGGGTGTAAAAGTTTGGTCAGGCAGGTTGAATGTACAAATTATATCAATATTGAGGGTTATTGTCTGCTCTAGTTACTGAGTTGTATTAATAGAAATATTTTGGCATATTTTCTTCAGTGGTTGATGAAAAGTTGTTTAATACATCAGTGAACAGTTACACTGTCTCTGCATTCAGTGTTCTAGATCTAAGTCTTACCATCTGAGCCACTTTTCTAACATTAACATTGAATATTGTGGGCCTCCCCTGGTGGCACAGGCGGTTGAGCGCAGCCCAGTGAAGCTGTCCTCAGCCTCTGCAGCGCGGGTTCGATCTCTGCTAGCCGGTGAGAATCCCACATGGCGCGGCAGACCTTTCCTGTCTCACCCGCTGCTCCCCTCAGCAGTGTATTTCATCAGTCTGACTGTTCTGTTCCCCATTCTGTCTCTGGTGAGTCTCTCACTCTCCCACGCATCTGGCCTATACCCCAGTTCTTGTATAAATAAATAAATAAATAAATCTTTAAAAAAATTGATTATTTTATGCTTGTAAGATCAAAATCCTATCCTACCTGTGATTTCATAAAATTTTAGTTAGCATCAGGCATGTTATTTGAGAAAATGAGCTAGGTGCCTTATTCTTTATAGGAAGTGAGTTGTTAAAGATTATATGAAGATTGACTATATCAATTGGTTATAAACCTCAATTTTTAAGAAATCTGCTGTAATGCAAATAACTCATTCATGCATTCATTTCATGTCTTTTGTTCATCAGAGTTTCCTAAAACAGAAAAACCATATCATTTTTTTTTTTTAGCGTTAGAATAACCCTTGGGTATACAGTTAATGTGGTGATAAAAGTTACAGACTTGGAGGAGGTAGTAGCTCCCTGATTTGTTAGATTACAATTTCACTAAATCATCAATGCTTAATATTACTTTGCTTTAAGAATACCTCAAAATTTTGTGAAATAGGGTTTTGTTTTTTTTTAATACTTTTAGGCCCTTTAACCTTATATTTTTAGGTTTAAAAAAAAGGAATTTTGTAGAAAATATGCATAACAGGAATTTTTTCTGCAAAATGCTTCTGTATTTGTGTAATATTTATTTTAATTCACAAATACTTTTTTTTTTGAGGGGGAGTAGTGGTAACGTATTGCCAATGAATTGGGTTAACAAGAATTTTCCATACATCCCTTAAAACTGAAATTTTAGAATTGAAGGGAGGCAGCAGCTGGTATTCCGCCAGAGCCTATTAATTGTCTTATATTCTTTGGAAATAGGATTTCACAGGCTATTATTTAACTTTGGCTTTGAAATAAGATTACAAATAGAAAGTTTTGTGCATGTCCTTGGTACCTACTCTGTGATTTTAATTTCACAATCATATTCTCTTAATTGGGATTTATCAATGCCTTAGTTTTTAATAAGAAAATATTTTATTTTCACACCTTTGATCAGTGTGAAAGTCACAAATTGAAGTAGGAAGAAGCATCATAAAAACCTTAGCAAACTCACAAATGTGCTTGCAAACAGCTGCCAGAAATTTCTGGAGAGAATTGTGGTGAGTCAGGCCTCATAATTGTTCATATCAGGGAATAAGATCGAGATGAGCTATTACATAAATGTGTGATAAGTATACTCAATGGAATACTACTCAGCCATTAAAAATAATGAAGTCTTGCCTTTTATGACAAGAATGATGAAACTTGAAGTGATTGTACTAAGTGAAATAAAATCAGAAAGTGAAGGCAACTGCTGGTTTCTCTCATATGTGGAATGTCAATGACTAAAACAAATGAACAAGACACAACAGAAATAACTCTCAGACTCTGTGAAAAACATAGTAGTCCAGAGGGGAAAGGAAAGGGGGTGGAAAGTAAGGATAAAGGGAATCAATTTGATAGTGTGAATGACATTAGAACTTTGATGGTATGTTCAGTGAAATATATGTACATATAGGGGTGTGAAGCTGTACTCCCAAAACTTATTGTATTGTAAAACATTGTTAAATCAATGAAATTTCATTCAAAAATTAATAATTAAAAACAATAAGAGGAGCCATCCAGTCACCCTTGATAGAGCCAGTCATTCTCAGTCCATGGCTGCATAGGAGAAATCACCTGGACCTCTTATGTGTGGTCAAAACTGTGTCCTTTAATTGGAGACTGAGTTAACTGGTTCAGCAACCCACGTGTCAGCACTCTTAATTACGTAGTTGATCCCAACTAATGTGGAACCAGGGTAGAAAACCTCTTTGACTCAACATGGGATGAGTCATCATTGACCTAATTGGTAGTTCAGGTGTTATTTAATGAACTGAAGTTAGCAATTAAAATATGTTAAGAAACATTTTCTTTAAAACACTGAAAAAAATGAACAGCTAGTTAGCTACCATCATGTCTAGCTAGCTTTCTAATCTAATGTCTTTCAAAAACATGCCATTATTAATGCAACAAATTGTGTTTGTATGGCCCATTGAGTTTGATAAAGAACTTTTACATGAATAAATTCATGGTTATAAACATATGTTTATATTTGCAGGGAGAAAACAAGTCTGAGTATTTCCTAGGATTAACCCCAGTTGGTGTTGTTGTCTACAAGAATAAAAAGCAAGTGGGAAAGTATTTCTGGTATGTACAATTTATGGGCAGAGTTAATATTAAAGTACATTCTATGAAAAAAAAGTACATTCTATGTGATGGACTTATGGTAATGGCAGTACAAGGAGTGGAAAACAGGTATATTTCCATTGGTTGATAATAAATGAGTGAAATTGGGTATAAATTTTCTCCCAGTGAATCTCAGTATATATTTTTTCTGTAAGTTTCAGGTACTGTGATTCTGTATTGTCTTGTCCATGGAAACTGTGTAGTCGGTTTCCTGCCTGTGTAGGTGTGTGCTGGTGGGCCACAGCCCATACCTATTGAGTACTAACTCTCTGTAGGGGAGAATCTGAGAGAGGTTTAAGAGTCTTTAGCTTTATACAATATCTGGGGGCACTGCAAGAGACTGGGGACTCCACGCTTTGCATTAGTGAATAGGCACAGGAGAATGAAAGTGGAGTTGTTTAATAAGGTGTCCTGAGCAAAGACATTTAGGGAATTCTCCATAATTACTGCAGTAGAGCATAAAGGAGTTAGTGTTTTTCATAATGATCCAATGTTTTTTCATACTGAACCAGTATTTTACCACTGTATTATATCTGAAGATTAATAAATAACATCAACACCACCATCAATGCTTTGTTTTTCAGGCCTCGGATTACAAAGGTTCACTTCAAGGAGACACAGTATGAACTAAGAGTACTAGGAAAGGATGTAAGTTTCTGTTCAGTGCTTTTGCTTAACTGAGAAGGGACATCTTATCTGTTCATTGACAAAAGATTGTAAAGCAAAATTTCCATGTTTTCTTCAACTGAAGCCACATAAACCAGGTTAATTAATTTGCAGGCACAACTTCTCATGTAATGGGAAGGAGACTGAATAGATCAGTGAATTGGTAATGGAGAAATGTCATTTTAGTTTTAGCAAAGGTTAAAATCCTTTCTAGACTAGAGGTGGGGAAAGAAGGTGATTGTCATTTCCTTGTAATGTGCACTTTGGTGCTTTTTGAGGTAGGAATCAGAAAATAAGAAGGGTTCATTCTGCTTACTGGATAAAAAGTGTTCCAGTTTTGTTCTAAAGTTCTCAAGGGAGTCACTGTCCTGCTCCTTCTTTAATTGATATGGAAAGTTGGGGACATTTTCAAAGGAGAATGTCAGACAAGGGAGCAAGCATTCTGAACTTGACTCCGCACCTTGGTGGTGTCCTTAAGACTGTTTGGGTAGTGAGCACAGTGCTTGTCAGAACTTTCACCCCTTGAGGTAGCTTTTAGGATATAGGGCAAAAGACAAGGATGTAAAGCTTCCTTTTAATCTACCCATAAAAAAATGTTCCCTTGAAGTGTTATTACTGTAAAGCATATTTATAGGATAAATGAATAAAATATGATGTAAGAGAATCCCCCTTCTGCCTCTTTGACACTATATGTAGAACAAAAATCTAAGTGAATGGCGTTGAGGTGTCCTGCTGGTGAGATAATTGTAAAAAAAAGTAAATAAGTCTGTGCTTGTGCATCTGAAAGTTGAGACACAGGAAAGATATGAGTGGGGCCTGGTACAGAGCCTCTCATGTAGCAGGTATTCAATAAATATGTGTCAAATGATCAATAACCTGATCTGCTGAGATTGTTCACTCTTAATCAGAAAACCTGATGTCACTCTTTCTTCTTCTTCTAGAAGAAAGCAGTGATCCCACTCCACTGTTTGGCAGCTTCCATTTATTGATAACGTTAAAATTTGCATATGGAAATTAGTTTTAGTTTATCAAGAGTTAAAATTAGCTGGGTTGTATGGCAGATCCATTTCTAGTGTTTTGAAGAACCCCCACACAGTTTTCCATAGTGGGTGATCAGTTTACAATACAAATTTTTAAAGAAATGATAGTCAAAAACACCAGGGTAATTCTCAGTGGTCTAGTTTGGAGAAAATTCAGTGCTCAGTCTTAAAAGATATGTTAATATAAGATTGAGTTAAAATTATCCATAATATTGTAGGGTTATACAGTTTTCTTTGTGTCCTGCCACTGGTTTTATGTGGCTTAGTAATGCAAAGAGTAAGGTCTGTTCAATATGTTAAAAATAATATCTCGAGTTTTCAATTAGAATATGATAAAATGATCAAAGTTTTCATCAGAGTGTTACTATTACTCAAAATCCTTTTTCCCTGTACAACGTATTTTTATGAGTTAGTCCTTTGGTGAACTATTTTTGGGTCATTATTGTATTAATAATGTGCCTATCTTAGGATAAATATTTGGTAAAATTACAACTAACCTGAACTTTAAGCTTCTTAGATTTCTCTGTGATTAGGTGAAGACAACAACAACAAAATTGAGACTATCATGTTACTTTTTTAATGACAGTCTCCATGGTATGAGCTGGTATCCTTGAACACTCTGCTCAGATCTTGTCCCTTCTGCTATTTTGAGAAGGGCTGGTAGTTGAATACCATCAAATACCCTGCTTTCACCTGGAGACTTAACAATGGTGTCAGAGATCTTTAGTAAAACTAGTATCAGAATTTAGGCCTAAATCAAAGGAATTTTTTAAAAATTCAATAGCACCCTAAATTAACCAAAGCTCTTCATCTGTGAGCATTCTTGCTTTTATGAATATGTGTTTATTACGAAGGAGTTACGTCTTTAAAACCTGTTAACAAATGGTTGATTTTCATTGAATGCCTTCACCACAAAGATTCTTCCTTATTCATTCATTCAACAACTATTGCTTATGTTAAAAATCCAACTGGGGGCTTCCCTGGTGGCGCTAGGGGTTAAGCACTGCACTATGAAGCAATCCGCAGCCTCTGCAGCACTTGTTCAATCCCCAGCCAGCCAGGGAGCAACAACCCACATGGCGCAGAAGACCTCTCCTGTCTTGCCCACTGCTCCCCTTAGCGTGTTTTTCAGTCAGTCTGCCTGTTCTGCTCCCCACTCTCTGGTGAATCCTCTCACCCCTGGCACCTCTGGCCTGTACTGCTGTACCTCTGGCTCTTGTATGCATAAATAAATAAATCTTTAAAAAATATCTAGCTGGGGCATAATTGTGGCTCATATCAAGGTAGCAACACTCTAAGTGTTGAGCAGCTGTTGGATTCTGGTTCTAACTACGTGGTTTCCCGGGCGTGGTGATCATTGCCAAGACCAGTTTTAGTAGAATGAAGAATGAAGTTTAACCCTGTAATCCTACTCTCAGTTCTAACCTGGAGAATCACAAGGGGCAAGTGTATTTACTGAAGTCCTTATGTGAAAGGCAGAAGAGGGAGGAGAAGAAACTTGAAGACCAAATTAATAGGAGAAAATGAACACCAAAGTTGATGCATACCCCCTAAGAAAATCAAAAGGAGGGAATAGGAGGAGAGGAATAAGAGATGGTGAAGGTAGATAACTCTTTTGAGGAACCTGACATAAAGAGGAATAAAAGGCTGGCAGACAGGGGAAGGGAGTTAAAAAGTTGTGTTTTGTATTTATTTTTTGTTTTGTATTTTTGATTGGAAGAAATAATGATGCAGTTTGTAAGGGCAGGAACAGGGCACAAGGCAGGTTTTCTGATCCCATGCAGATCGGGTAAAGGAGGAGTCAGAGTCCTCAGTAGTTTTGCAGGTTTTTTATTTGGGGTTCACCAGGCATATGGCAGGCAGGGGTGCTGGCTGGGGGGCTGGGAGGCTGGCAGGCCTCCCAGCCCCCAGCAAGTCCTCACTCTATCTGGGCTCTCTAGCGTTCGTTCTGCTGCTTCTCGGCTTCGGCTGCGGCGGCTGCTGCTGCTGCTGGTGCTGGTGCTGCTGGCGTCCCCCCGTGATGCCGCCCTTAAAAGCACAGTCTTAGCTCAGCTGAATCCCATCTACCTATGCCCACACCCTATTCCAGGTGCCCACCATCAGGCATGCATTCAGGACAAGGATCCATCATCTATCCTGATGGCGGAAGGGCAGAAAAGCCTGATATTTTCTTTACCCTACAGTCCACCCCCTCAGGGTTTTCTGCCATACAGTCTATACATATATACACAATTTTCTAAGCAAACAAACAATGCAGCCATGGCCCACAAAAGCAAATACATCAAATAACAAAATACAACATAACAAAATACAACAGAACACAAATAAGTCCAGGCAGGGCACCAACCAAGTGCAAAAGACAATTATTGGTACCAGCAGATGAGCCACCAAATCTGCTGCCGAAGGCACTGCTCATACGAGGGAGGGGAAATCACACACGGCATCTGCTATAACACACCAGGAGCCGTCAGGCTTCCTGGCCTTCTCTGGCTGTAGTCTCGGCTACAAGGCACACACAGCATCCACCCCCAGGATGCACTAGCTCTGGGATTGGCAATTTTATTCTGTTGGGGGTAATCGCCAACCCTCAGGGTTTCTGTCTGCAGTCGCTCCAACACTCGGCCTTCATGGCCACCCATGCGACTCACAGACCCCTGCTCTCAAGCCAACCCACTGCACAAGCACATGGGTTGGGGATCCAAACTTTGCATTTGGCTTGGGCTCCACCCCAAGCCACATTCCCCACCCGTCCCCCAAGGACAGGCTTCTCAGCTCCTCACCCTCACTCAAGAATGAGCAGGGCATCACCCATAGGTGATTTTACGAGACTCACAGGGCTTCAGCATACCCAGGCTGCTTAACAGCCGCTTTAGGGCTTCTCAACTTAGCATCAGTACCAGCTTTTGCCACCTTAGTTGGCTTTTCTCCTCCACCTGGCCACTGGGCATACACAGGCTGCTTTTGGCCATCTAGGCCCACTGGCCACCCCCAGATTCTCAAAAAATAAACATAACCTGCTAAGGTCCTCCGCCTTCTGGCGGGATTGTCAGTCCAAAATCATCAGTTCATCAGTCCATCAGTCCATTGGCCTCTCCCTGCTTCAGCAATGGCCTGCTGCCTCAGGGGTCATTGGCTGGTCCTTTCCGGTGTCGTTGGCTGGTCCTATCCGGTGTCGTTGGCTGGTCCTATCCGGTATCGTTGGCTGGTCCTTTCGGGCGTCTCCTTCACGCCAGGTCTCATCCTGTAGCTCGTGGACGTATCCATCTTCTATACCGCCATGGTGCCTCCAGCGTCGTCACAGGCAAAGTCTGTTCTCCTTAGTCCCTCCAGGTCTTCGGAGGGCTCCAATACCCGTCTGCATGGATCTTGCCGACATACGCCAATTGTAAGGGGCAGGACAGGGCACAAGGCAGGTTTTCTGATCCCATGCAGATCGGGTAAAGGAGGAGTCAGAGTCCTCAGTAGTTTTGCAGGTTTTTTATTTGGGGTTCACCAGGCATATGGCAGGCAGGGGTGCTGGCTGGGGGGCTGGCAGGCTGGCAGGCCTCCCAGCCCCCAGCAAGTCCTCACTCTATCTGGGCTCTCTAGCGTTCGTTCTGCTGCTTCTCGGCTTCGGCTGCGGCGGCTGCTGCTGCTGCTGGTGCTGGTGCTGCTGGCGTCCCCCCGTGATGCCGCCCTTAAAAGCACAGTCTTAGCTCAGCTGAATCCCATCTACCTATGCCCACACCCTATTCCAGGTGCCCACCATCAGGCATGCATTCAGGACAAGGATCCATCATCTATCCTGATGGCGGAAGGGCAGAAAAGCCTGATATTTTCTTTACCCTACAAGTTATACTCTGATGAATATGACCCGACATGTAATGAAAACTTGATGGTGTAGGAGAGAGTGAGACTTGATGGAATGAGACCCCTTGCTTCAATGGCAAGCATATAAATGGA